CCCCAACCCTTAGACCCTTTTTTCAAACCTTGGCCACTTTAAAGATGCTGGGTTTCCACCCCCCAAATTCCCCCACCCACCCATGGTGGGTGGGGAATTCTGGGAGTTGAAGTCCACACATCTTAAAGTTGCCAAGGTTGAGAAACACTGTCTTAGGTTCTTGGGAAGAACTCAATGTGAATGAAGGCCAACACCAGCTAAAGAACTGGCAGCTGTGATTTCATGTTGTTATGTATATAATTAATAATAATAATAATAACAATAATAGTCATCTGTAACCAACAAACCTAACTATTGTAGAAGTTAGTGCTGTCTTCCAGAGAATAAATTCTTGCTTTTTTCTACCTTGCCTCGTCCTTTGCTAAAGCTTACAAACAACCTCCTCCTTATTCACTTGTGCAGTGTGAAGGGAGGGACAGAGCAGAGGACATACAGCCGCCTCTTTTCACTTCTAAATCACGAGACTCAGAAGCCTCATTCAATTTTGAAACTTGATGACTGAGGGCAGAAACAGGCAGGGAGGAGGAGTTGTATTTTTTGACAGTCCCCACAGGAGGCCAGTTTCACACAGGACTGGGCAATGTCTGAGGGTTAGGAACATTTTCTTGGTATTTTGGAGGAGCATCTGGTAAACACCCACCCAAACTTTGAAGAATCATCCAAAACAGTGATTTTGAAATCTGGCCATTTTGCTGCTGGACATCATTGTGATTTTGGGTGAGAGGACCATGTGTTGCCTGTAGTCATGGGGTGCCCAACTCCTTTTTTCATTTGGAAAAGGGGCAGTGGCTTCCAAGTTTTTTTCCCCCATTCCAGTCACTGTTGGCTCTAAAGCCTCTGAGCAGAAAAGATTGCAGATAAACAAGGAAAAATAAATAGCACCCCCAAACCTCTGGTTGTAGATGGAGGGAACCACTAGAACAACACAATCAATTAAGTCTTAATTCATATAAAGTGCCAATGGGCTTGGACCAAGGAATTTAGCAATAGGGGACAAGCAAATGACTCACCAGGCTCAATCTTGCTATTGTACAGCGGAAAGGAGCATCATTTGAGTCACACTTAATACTTGGGGGGGCTGTAAAGGGGGGCATCATGCACGTGAGCAGAGATAGGTTTGGAGTCTATTCAGCCGTAAGGCTATTTTAGGCTTAAGCTACAGTTCTTACACATTTCCCATTGCAAAACAGTAGGAAATAGTGCCATCAATTTTCAGCCCTCTTAGTCACAACAGAGCTTGAATAACCTGCCTCTGACACCCCACCTATGCTCACCATGGACTGAGCCATTCGCCTTTGCACCGAGTGCCTCCCGCAGCTCCATCAACTCCAAAAATTAACATTTGCAAAACAAGCAGCTAATTTTCATCACATTTGCATGGACCACTGTCACACCTGGTACTCCTATGCAAAAGGATGGGGACAGGAACAGGATTGGGCAGTATTAGTCTTGATCACTGATGAACGGAGAGCGTCTACTTTTCAGAGCAAGTTCTCAACTCCACTCGGCATACAAGGAGCTCTCACTCCCAATCCCAGGACCTGGGATGAAATGGGAAGAGATGCCAAGGATCTTTTAGGGCTCCAGCTCAGGGCAAGAGCCACAATTCTGTATGCAAAAGATCCTGGAGTTTGATTCCCACACCCTCCGGGGCAACGCCTGTTAAATGACCAGGGAGCAGGTGTTTCCCTGCAAAGTCCCAGCCAGAGGATCTGGTAGCTGATCTCTGTGGGCTGAAGACGCAGCTGGAATTTCAAGGGGGTGTGGGGAGCATTCTCACAAAATGACAGCCACAAGGGACTCGCCCATTCACCAGAGGGGGGTGGCCAAAAGACCGCTGGGATCGGCTCTCTGGAATGCTCTTTCCCATCTCAGTGGCATCCTTGGGGATGAAAAGCCCCCGAGCTCCAGCTGCCTACCCCTACCTAAAGCATCCACCCGGGTCACCTAAGGGCCTTGATTCCTAACAGCGTGGAGTAGAGAAGATGTTAACCTGGGACTTCAAGTCCCTGCTTCGCTCTGAGAAGAGGCTGCAGCTATGTAGAATTCATGCCTCTTCCAGCATATCAAGCCCACCTGAGACTAGGAAAGGCCGAGACTGGGAAAGATTGCCCGGGCACCCAGTCAAACCAGTCACCGAGAATACTCCTACCCATCTGCTGTACCACTGCAGGCGCTTTGCCAGTGACGGCTGTTAGGGGAAAAGGGCAATCATGATCACGGGCAGGAGAATATGGAAGTGCATTTGCAATCACCATGAGAACTAGCCACTTGGGTTTATCTCCATTCCAGTAATTTCCTTTTAAAGAGCAAATTTCAACCCCTATGACTTTAACCCGTCCCACTCAATCACACAGAGGGGGCATGCTTCGGACCCCCTCAGTGAAAGAACATCAATTAGCAGGGTCCAGAAGGCGGGCCTTCTCTGCGGTAGCCCCGCCCTTTGGA